CATCATATGTTTGACCAAAAAATTATTTTAAATATAATGCTTAAAAATGAATAATCTGCAAATTACATTATAATTTAAAAGTCGTACTCATTTATTACTCATCTATTATATATTTAATAAAAAAAAAACTAATTTGATAACTTATCATATTATAATAATTTCGAACAATCTAGAATGTTATTATAATATTATAATAACGTTACGGTTTAAAAGACATACTCATTTATTACATATTTAAAAAAAAAAATAGTAGGTTCTATATATTTCTTAAAGAAATAAAAGATGTTCATATTAAATTTATGATGAGTTTATTTATTCTCAGACATTTTGCATTTATGATACAATAAATAAATGAATAGGATTTTTTTTTTCTCTATAATTGAATGTGGTAATTATGTATCTAATTTGACCTATAAATAAAGAAAAGGTAAAATAGAGTAGCCAAATCCTTATGCAAAATGGTTTCTATGGTCAGAACCTTGTTGGTGTTTCATGCGGCATTAATCGTTCTAACAGGCTCATGCGATGCTGGCTTTTTGTTGTCGAAAGAACATATCCATATTTACAATGAATTAGGTGCGGGGTTGGACTTGACATTGCACTGTAAAGATGCCCATCATGATCTTGGGTCACAGATAATTCCATATCAAGGTAATTGGGTGTTTGTGTTTCGACCAGATTTTTGGGGCACCACTCTATACTTTTGTGGCTTTACATGGAAGAATCAGTATCACAGGTTTGATATTTATGTTCAAAATAGAGATTATCCTAAATGTTCTAAAGATTGTGTGTGGCACATAAAACCAAATGGTCCCTGCATGCTCAATTATGATACTGCCAAATTTGATATATGTTATTCCTGGGATAAAGAATTGTGAACTTTTCATGCCGCAGTAAGGATAATAATGACAACATCTATGTAGGTCATATTACCCTTCAAATAAAAGTTTTATATGTAGTAATCAATTTGTTTTATGCTTCTTAGTTATTTGATTTAAAACTAAACAAGAAATGACTAGAAGTATATTGTCTTACATGTTATTCTGCTATGAAAGACAATAAAGTATTGGCAGTATTCTTAATGTAAGAAGGCATCCAACTACATTTTATTTTCCTGGCAAGAGAGCAAGACCCAAGTAACTAAAGAAATTTCACATGCCATACGCCGGACGAGGTCATGACAACAGTAAAATATGCACCGCTGAGGGGAAACAAAAAAAAAAAAAAAGAAAACAAAAACAAATATCACCAGACATCTGGACGGAGCTCGCCAGTTGCTGGAGGCATCCATTTCCCTGAATTGTACACACTTTCACCAACCTTCCAACCAGGCACATCCTTCATCACTTCTGCCTCGTAGTCAAGATACTTCTTCCACTCTTTCACAAATCTAAAGAAAAAAATAAAGGAGATCAGGAAAGAAAAAAAAGGTTCCCTGTTCCATAGATGGGAAGAGAAGCAAATAAGCATGTGGTAGAAAAGAGCTATGACACCTTTCATCTTCTTCAGCTTGAAGCACGGGGAGTATTGCCCTACGGGCAGCATACTTCTCCTCCTTAAGCGCCCTACGTCAAAGAAACATCCCAAGCCTACAGTAAATATATATATATCTAATTCTGAAAAAGAAGCAAGCTTGAGATTTTATTCATATAAATAAAACAATTAGCAGCATTTCTACTTTTCATCCGTGAGACTGAAGCAGAATCACGAATAAGATATCTGAACATAGAGGAGAAAGTATCAATCCATTTTATCCAAAATTTTGTATTAAAATCGGGACCACCAAACCAATCAAAAGAATACAACACCAATGAATTTCTTAGAGATGACCATGCCCCATCTTGCATGCAATCTTGAGATATAGTCTCATAACAAACATGCCTGCTACCATAAGTATAGTCTTTAACAAAAAATTACTGTGTGGGGACTAAAACACCTCTTATGAAGGAAATCCCATTTCACTCAATCATAGGCTTTATTGAAATCTAATCTAAAGATCAGCCCATGTTCCTCCTTTGAACATCCTCCACCATCTCTTAGCAATAAGAAAGCCATCAAGAATCTGTTCACCCCCCAATAAAAGCAGTTTAGTGGCGCAGAAATCGTCTTACCAAGAACCTCACTCAACCTTAAATAGAGCACCTTACTGATAATCTTGTATATGCTCATAACCAGACTCGTAGGCTGAATAATCAAAAACTTCAGCTGAGCAATCTTTCTTAAGAATCAAACTAATGGAAACGGAATATATAATAAACTCATCATTGCATTAAGCTTAAATTCCTCCCAAAAGCTTCAATTTAAACACCTTCTATGACTTCTTAATAGGTATAAGAAAAAGCTATGATATAACCATCTGGTCCAGGAGCTTTCTCCAAACCAAGTTCCCACATTGCTCTCTCAATCTCAAACTCCTCACAGCGTCTCTTCATTAATGCGCTCTCTCCCCGTTAATCAGACACCAATCAGTGCCTTGAATAAAAGAGTGATCAATTATCTCATTCGAATAAACTGGAGTATAGAAATCCACAGTCAAATGGTTAACCGCCTCTTAATCTCTCTCCAAAAACACCACCCTCAAGCTATGATTCCTTAACGTAATTGTTCCTCCCTTTGTTTTAAATAGTAGTTCTTCCTCCCATTGACCAACCCATTGAAGAGCTTTAATAGGCATCATCCTCAAGCTCTAAGCTTCATTCTTAAATGTACACAAACACACTCATTGATCTTCATCAAGAACATAGTTCAAAACCATTCTATCAAGAATAGAGGTCTCCCCAATAATATCATTGCTCCCTCTAATGTCTCGAAAGATCTCCTAATGCCACCAGGTCTTCTTAGTCTCAAAAAAACCACAGTGAGTTTGTCACATGTTAAAAATATACCCAAGTTAAAAGTCCCTTATGCCCAAGTTAAAAATATACCCAGCTTATAGTAATTCAACATAAGTTTTTTTTTTTTTGAAATATAGTAATTTAACATAAGTGGAAGTAAGATCATTCAGTAAAATTTAAGATGTAACATATTTCTTTTCAAATAACCAACAAGATGCTCAATATCTCTAGTGATTGTTCAGTGATTAATATATAAATATCATAACAAAGGATAAAACAGATCTAGTCACCCTAAAACAACAAATCTGTGAATCCTATTAAACATTTCTGAGCCCCCTACCAGAGAACTATCAAACCCTTGCAGTCTAATTAATAAAAGTTACCCAAAAGTAAAAATTTGAACACAAAGATCATTCAATCATGACAACCAAAACCATTCACATCATGCAGATTATTCAAATGATAACAAAGGTCCAAAACAACCAATCAAACAGTAAGGTTTTCCAGACAACAAGCAAATCTAAGTAAGGTCCAAACAACAGCTCATTCTTTTTGCACACAAAAATCCAAACAACAATAGCAATCTCTATAAGCAAAAGTAACCAAGACAAAAAGAAAGAACAAGATGGCGGTACATACAACAAAACTAACCAACAAGATGGACCAGCATCTGTTTCCAATACAACCAGAGAACACATCACAATAAAAAACCCAGGTTTAAAAATAAACCAACAAAGAAAGCCCATGACAACTACAAGATCCCTAGTGAATTCGAATACAATATTGGGGAAAAGAAATGGCTAACTAAAACCACGTCAAACCATCTCTTTGATAGAAAATGAAATAGATTAATAAAGAAGAATACAGCATTGAAGGACTAGATATCCTCTCAAAAGGAAAAAAGCAAAAAGAACATAGCATCTTAAAATGAGCAAAACGAGTCATCTCTTGATTAACAATAAGCCAGTCAATCTGATTACATTTGCCTTAGCCCAAAAAAACACTAAAGAAGGACAATGGATTCCGGAGAATCAGACAAGGAGTGAATTGTGCCATAAAGACTTAACCTCCTTCCACCAACCAAGACCACAGAGAGCAGGAGAAAGGAGCAAACTGTTCCTAAGAGGGCAAACTAAATTTAAAGAGAAATGTCATTGTAGCGCTAGTAGCAGTAGGTAATTTAGCTTCACCTGTTCCAAAAGGTAGTTCCTGGAAAACAAGTAACTTTCCAAGAAATACGCAGGAGCATATAGCAGAGAAACCCATCTCAAAGACTGAACTCAATTATGATTATAACCAAATCTCACACTTTTCCAGCGTCAAATTCCAGAACCAACAGAACCCCAGATGACAAGACCATCACCAATGAGAAGTCAAAGAAGCACTAAAACGATGTTTCTAACAGCAAGCAGTAGAAATCAATAGGGAGAATCCATATTTCCAGTGCCAACTATCTTAAATGCCAGATTAAATCCAAAATGGCAAAAACCAAACCACAAGCGTAAATCAGAATAAAATCACAAGAAAAAAGACTTGACTTGAATTAAAAGCGAAATTCAACTGAAACGGCAGATAGCAAAAGTAAATGTTCATCTAGGTTAAATGATAAAGTGGGTTAGGGAAACACCTGCGGATCTTATTGCCCTGGCCGACCTGGTACATGCCATAAGAGAATGCACCAAAGGCAGCGAGGAAGATAGCAATGGCACTGGGCCCTTTATTGGGGATCCGCCGGGCGTATCGAACCGGAGCGAATCCTCCCGGAGGCGGGCCGTCCTGCAAGATCGGCATGTCCTTGACGCTGGCCATCCCTGGCTTGTTCCTTATCATTGCCTCCGTCATCTTTGCTTCTTTGTACTTGCTATCTGAGTCTCTCTTTGCGATGGCGATGAGACTTAGAGGGCTTCTATGATTTCGTTTCTCGCTTCCCTGATGATTTTTTGAGGGGAAGACGGAAAGGGATCAGTGGAGAACAAAGACGGTGAAATGGTAAACCGGTTTTTTTAATTAATAGAAAACCGGGCAAATTATGCAATTATCTAATAATATTAATTTTAATTATATTGATTTAGTTATAATAAAATTTTTAATACGCTAATTATTATAATTTTAAATTTTTTATTTTAATAATATATAGTAGGCAAAAATATAACGCATGTACTTCATTTTCTTAATTTTTTTCTACAATATAATTTTTTAGATTTTTAATTGCATATTTTTAATTTTGGTGTAGTAATTAGTAAAATTCTAACATATCTTTTTTAATATACCAATTATATATATGTATATAATACTGAAAATTTTCATATAATATTTTTTTTATTTTTTAAAATAAAAAATAAATATAATATGTTAATATTTATTATAATTATATTTATTATATGAAGATAATATTTTAAATGTTATTATCTATTTAAATTTTGAACTATAAAGATAAACTTAATGTAATTTTTATATGTAATAAAATATTTATTTAACTTTTTAGTGAGCCCAAATGGGCTTGGGCTCACTAAATAGCCTCCACTAAAACGACGCTGTTTTGGCTTAAGTGTACGATTCGTCAACACTTGTGGGCTTGAGCTTCCAGGCCTGAACCCTAAAACCCTTTTAACAGTTAACCCGCCTGAAGCGCAAAACCCTAAACCCTAGCCACAACAGCAAGTAAAAACTAGAAGCTGCTGCTTCTAGACTCTTCTCTTCCCTTCAAAAGACCACGCTCCTTCCTCCTCAATACCTTCCATTTGTACGACACGCTCAGTTCTCCATTCCTGCTGTCTAGACCCACCGGTGTCATCTTCCATTTCTCCACCATGCACCGTTTTGCTTCAGGTCTCGTCTCCAAAGCAAGGTATTTTGCTTTGTTATACCGTATTTCTACACTTATGCAGGTGGCTTCTGTATTTTTTGTCTTTGTTTCTATCCAGCTATTGGAAAATGCCACTTCCTAAGTGTAAGGAAGAAGAAAACAATTAAGAGGGAATGAAAATGAACTACATAGCTTAGTTGAATTATATCTTTTTGTGTTGGGAAATTAAACCCAGTTCCAAAGCAAGAGATCCCAGATTTAATTTTATTTAATTTCCGTTGTGAATGGGTTTTAATTTTTCTCACTTTTTTAATGGTTAGCAGGATTGCTAGGAACAGCACTCATCAGGTGATTACCAGCTGTTTGTTTTTATTATTTTACTGTTCGTAATCATGATGGGTTTGTACTGATCTATAATTTTGTTGGTAATCAGGTTGGGAGTAGATTAAGTTGGAGCAGGAACTATGCCGCGAAAGACATAAGATTTGGCGTGGAGGCTCGAGCTTTGATGCTCAGGGGTGTTGAAGAGCTCGCAGATGCAGTCAAAGTCACTATGGGTCCTAAGGTACTGTTGCTAATGTCACCCAATGCTTTCTAGTTTTGCTTTAAGAGATATATAGTCTGGCGCTGGTTTAGACTGAAGGATCACTGTTATTTTAATCATGTTATAAAAAAAAAATCAGCTTTCCCCGAGTAAGTTAGTTGATCATAGATCTATCTAGGCTAATAAACAAATAGTGATTTACTGTTTGTATAGCAATCTTCCAAGCTTAGTTGTATTCTGTACTTTGGGGTTGACGCCCAATGGTTTTGAGACTTATCACTAGCTTCACCTTGTGGAAAAGATTCCTGGTTTTAAGAACTTTGTGCTGTTAAAATTTAACTGTTATGTATTTGAGGAGAAAAGATAAATTTGTTCTAGGTAATAAATATATTAAATATCTCTTAAGGAAATAGTAAATAGTGAGTTTCTGGCAGCTTTCATATTATAGGGGCAAAGATGACGGCATTATTTTGCATCGTTTTCTATTTGCATTTCTTTTGTTTGTGCTTCTCTTAGGCTATTGCCATGGCGTTCATTTTTGAGCATTTTTATTTACGTTTTTCTAAAACTTTTGAAGGGGCGGAATGTGGTAATTGAACAAAGTTGGGGTGCACCGAAAGTGACAAAAGATGGTGTCACTGTTGCAAAGAGTATTGAATTCAAAGATAAAGTCAAGAATGTTGGTGCTAGTCTTGTCAAACAGGTTGCAAATGCTACTAATGACGAAGCTGGTGATGGTAAGGCTTCATCCAGTGATAAGATGCTTGCAAATGAACAACTTTAGTGATTGTACAATTTTTTCTGATAATAAGTCCAGTGTTGTATGACTTTCGTGTTTTCAGTTTTCCAGAGCAATTAATTTATATTCAATACACACTTGCATCATTCTTTCCTTATTTGAATGCATGATCTGAGATTCTTTTTATGCTTTGCAGGGACAACATGTGCTACAGTCCTCACGCGAGCAATATTTACAGAAGGATGCAAGTCTGTTGCTGCAGGGATGAATGCAATGGACCTAAGGCGTGGAATTTCAATGGCAGTAGATGCTGTGGTAACAAACTTGAAAAGCAGAGCAAGAATGATTAGCACATCAGAAGAAATTGCACAGGTTGGTTGAAACAAAGGTCTAAATATATTGTAAATCTGTAACTTTTAGCCTGAACTATAAGCTAAGTGTACTTGTGTAGGTTGGGACAATATCAGCAAATGGTGAAAGAGAAATTGGTGAATTAATTGCAAAGGCCATGGAGAAAGTTGGCAAAGAGGGAGTAATCACAATCCAAGTAAGCTGCTACTAATGCATTCATTAATCATCGGAGATAATTAACGAAAATTTCTCAGGATTCTGATATTTCAAAACACTTGCAGGATGGGAAGACTTTATATAATGAGTTGGAAGTTGTTGAGGGCATGAAGCTGGACAGAGGTTATATATCTCCTTACTTCATCACCAACCAGAAAAACCAAAAATGTGTAAGGCCTCAAAGCATGTTTTTTTAATACCAAAATGGCATATACATGATCGCTGTAATGAATGGGTATATGTGTTCATACTGACAGGAACTAGAAGACCCTCTAATTCTAATCCATGAGAAGAAAATCTCAAGCATAAATGCCGTGGTGAAAGTCTTAGAATTAGCTCTGAAGGTAGGTGTTGGTAAGCTATAGTGTGTTCTTTTTGCTCTCTAACATGCGTATTTTTGTGGATATACTTTTTTTCATTATCCTCCTATCTGAAAAGTGAATTTAGCTAACCCCATCCCCCCTCCAAAAAAAGAGAAATTTTAGTCTAACTTGTTGATAGGTTACTTCATTTAAGGAAGTTTTGTTCTTGTTATCTTTGTGCAGAGGCAAAGACCTTTACTGATTGTTGCTGAAGATGTGGAAAGTGATG